AGTACGAACATTACAAAATCATTTAACTTCAGTGGATTCACATCGGACATTAGTACTTTTATGAAAACATTATCTAATTACCGGTAGGAAAACTCGGCGTGTATGGCTGATGAATATCGAAGGACAAAGCTAGCTAGCTCCCTGTTAAGTAAATTATACCTATGTCAACTCGTAATAAACTCGCTCATCATGAACCCTCAGTAAGATATCAAAGAAGTTCCAGACTAAAAAGAAAACATTATATTGCTTGTAAGTTTATGAAACTTTTGTTTATAGATCATTGTTTGTAATAACTGTTATTGTAAATTGTATTCTTGTGTGTATATTAAAACGCATTTATGTTAAAAAAAAGAAAACTATGTGTGTCAATCTTGTTGGCACACATCATAAACTATATATTGGCTTTTACTTAACTGCTATATCCAAAGTATAATTTAACTACTAAATTTAATGTATCGTTTATCTCGGTTTCAGACCATTTGAAATTGTAATACGTAACATTATTTATAAATTTTTGAATACCTTTTTATCATTACAGAGTTTTAACAACAACAACAAAACAACTTTCATAAATAATTAATAAAATAAATTCTTCATAAATGATAACAAGGAGTGTGTAAGAACTAGCCTGGAAGTGCAATGTTATAATATTTACTTAGTTTCTTGTTTCTATTACGAGTATGTAAAGATTTATATCCACATTAACAAGATCAGGAATTTCAGTATAATTGCTTTGAATACATTAAACTTAGATGGATAGTACTGCTAGTGAAATGTTCTACTATTATATCAGTAGAGCCCAGAATACGTCAATATCGATAAACCACTAGAATTGGTTCTACAGAGTGAGATCAAACTTAGATAATCTGCTCAAGGTTATCGAAGATTAGTTCTACAGAATGAGAACACACGTAGATAATCTGTTCAAGGTTGTTGAAGATTAGTTCTACAGAGTGAGACGAAGTGTGGATACCCTGTTTAAGGTTGTCGAAGATTTGTTCTACAGAGTGAGACAAAGTATGGATAGACTGTTCAAGGTTGTTGAAGATTAGTTCTACAGAGTGAGACAAAATATGGATAGACTATTCAAAGTTGTTGAAGATTAGTTCTACAGAGTGAGACAAAGTATGGATAGACTGTTCAAGGTTGTTGAAGATTAGTTCTACAGAGTGAGACAAAGTATGGATAGACTGTTCAAGGTTGTTGAAGATTAGTTCTACAGAGTGAGACAAAGTATGGATAGACTGTTCAAGGTTGTTGAAGATTAGTTCTACAGAGTGAGACCAGGTGTGAATACTGTGATCGTAATCAAAAGGATCTTAGTTTTATAAAATTACACCAGATTTGACTTTTAGTTAAATAAATCGTTGTAAGGAAGATTATAAGAATCGATATTTGATTATCACTGATAAGTTTTGTTATAAATCTTGTATTTATTTTAATTCGAAGATTTCAGCAATTTATACTTAACCTAATCGCATCCTAATACAATGAGTTTTGCTCTTTATATTAAAATTATTTCTAATATTCAAACCAGCAAGGCAAGTGACAATTACAGCCAATATGAAGTTACGTAGAACTGTATGTATGAGAACTGCAATTAGACATTGTTTCGTGGATAGTATAATGCCACGAAAAATGTATGGGTTTTGGAAAGGATATGTGACATCCTTTTTTGATGAAAATTATTTATACATTCAGGTCATAAATATGTGTTTATATCGGAGATTTAGAATTTCAAGACGGTAACATTTCTTCTACTTAATTACTTTGGAAAGTAAAATTATATGAATCAATCTGAAGCACAGGCCCACCAAGAAAGAGATTTGCATCAAGTGGTATCCCAGCGATAGTAAGCCAAGTACGGCGTCTTTTAACAGATAAGAATCCATCAACACAGAAGTCAATAGCGAAAGCTGTCCACGTACTCCAGGCCACGATACGCAACAAAAACAAGGAGGATTTCCATCTAGAATCGAGGCCAAAATGATAGGGATTCACCAACATAAGGCTTACAGTTACTCTTCCCTTTCAACCGTCGCAAGCGTCAAGCATCTGGAGAATAAGATGGGTATTCATACTATTCCATACGAAAAGATATCGTTCTAGTCGCCGGACTCAGCGCATGTGGATTTCTCAGACTGTTGCAACGGGCACTGAGAAACCATTGATCTTGTACAATAGAAGGATTATGTAAAGTCTGAAAAGAGAGTGGAGTCCTTTGAACATGAAATCCTCCCGATGAAGACTTTTGCAATGGAAACCACGCTTATTCACATTCAAGATACACATTTATCAAATAGAGCATAACTGACCATGGCGACATTGGCTGTAACGACACGGTGAGGTTTCTAAATAGCTGTAATATGACGTACTCAATCCCCGTGTTGGTACCTATCATATTACCAAACTTAAAATCTCTAACATTTGCATGTAGACAGATTAATGTTTGCAGGAACGTATTTTGGAATGCGAAACGTAATATTTTAGCCTAGCGAATTCAGTATTTTGAGTACAAAGTACTATTTACTGGACATATATTTCTTATAACTTGTTGCTGTTTTTACATCTCACATCACACTGCAAAACCGTTAAGTGTATACGACTGAACAAATTATTTATATAATCTTACAAAAGGTTGTTCTAATTAGACTTACTTGTTGAAAGACATTTTAAATAATTTATTTTACTACAATCACCTTTCTATGTTTTTGTTGCTTTATTTAAACATGAGAATTACTTCTATTTAAACAAAACTTCTCCTGCTTATTTTACTTTTGAAATATATAGATTACGAGATATGTTGCCTTATTGGAGAATAGGAAAATACATGCATGATGAAATTTAAATGATTAAATGTAAATTCTTTATAAATAATGCAGAGAACTTATAAGCATGTGTTGGAAAGATTACCATTTTATAAATTATGTAGACGTTTTCTCATAACTACGAAATAGTTAGTTCCCTGTATAATGTGATATCACTATACGAAGAAAAACAACAATATAATAAAAAGGAAGATGCAAGTAATGATATGTATATATATATACATGTCTCTTATTATGTGAAACATATTTTATATATCTAATTATATTAGAGCTATCATCAATATCCCTCTCTATATATAATCCTATTGTTTTCAGCAATAACTTTACTTCAACCAACTTAAGCCAAGGTTTCACTGATGTAATATGAATATTTTCTTTTTCGTAGATTAACTGCATAAAAAGTAATTAACACTAACTATTACTTAATTTTTGCAAATGATAGGTTGGGTTAATACATTACTTTCTCTATGACAGTAGAAGAGTAGAATGAATGATCATATTGCCATGTTTTACACGGAACGGTTTGATTTCGATCGACTGTTAGAGATGATAGATTTCTGTAAATTTTGTACATTTCACATGAGCTATAACTTTCTCCTCCAAAGCTTTCATCTTTTGGTATGGCAAGATCTTTCCAGGAGTCTGTGCTGTAGTTTAGTAGAGGATCCGGAGGAGAACACCAGTGGCTAATATCTGGAGCTAAAAACGTTATCGACAAATTATGCCAGGCAGATGGAAACCCAAAAAATATAATAATAAGAAAAATAGCTCGTTGCCAGGGGCCATATCCTCCAATAATGTCCGAAACATCCTTGATTGATTGTGGTTCTTCATGAATCTGCTCCTCGCTCCTTGACTTCATTATTTAACACTACTAACCTGAAAATGAAATGTTTATTATGAGAAATTGTTTTCCAACTGTGGAAATATAAATTTATATGTAAACACATAATGCATATAGCACTAAAATACCTGTTTTCTTCATGACATGTTATTCGAAAAAATAAAATCTCCACTTTTTAATCACAACATTTTCCTTCTTTCTTTTAACTACTAATCTCAGATTCAGGTGTTAAAAAGATATTTATTCAATGAAGTATTACTGGCTATGACGAAATGATGTAGATAATTTGAGAAGTTGGAGAGATGTCTTTTAACTATACTAAATGCAAGGTAATTCGTGTGACATATTATAATTTTAATTACAAGTACGATTTTAAAAACAAAAGAACCTTGGTATTTTGGTTAATCAGTCTCTGAGGCTATCGAAACAGTGGCAAATAGGAACTTAGGTTTTATTCACAGATACAATAAAATCAGTTGTCGACTCCAACGTTTTTAAAATGCGTACTAATTTATTGTATAAAGTTAAGAATAATATAAAATTTACAAAAAAAACTCAACATTTTTTGGTGGAACATGTTCCACCATCTTCAGGAGACAAGAAATTTAATTTAAATACCTAAGTAAATGTATGTGTACAACTTGCATATTTTACAGTTGCGTTATTTACAAAACCGACTTCCAGAAATTTACTTCCCTGGCACCAGTACCTAAATCTCTATTCAATATTATTTTATGTCTAGCAGTTTATAATGATTATATTATACTTAATTCATTTTTTGACTTTACTTCTTTAAGTATTTGTACATCGTCCCACTCAATCATATGTGAAGAGTAAGGGAAGTAACGTTCTATCATTGTAAACAAAGCAGGTAATGTGTTCATGAAAAATACGAGTTGTCAAATAACATTCATTCCTTAATTAAAATTCATTAATGGTGTTAAAGATAAAATAGAAGTGAAGGATAAATGTGGAATGTATAAAGTGTCTTGTAGTTGTGGTTTAGGTTATATTAAACAGACAAATAGAAATTTGAACTTTCGAGTTAAAGTTTATTAAAATGCTATTGATATATTAAATACTAATTATTTGGCCTTGACAGAACATGTGGCAAACTTTTCACATATCCTTGAGTGGGACAATGTAAAAATACTTAAAGAAATGAAGTAAAAAGTGAATTGAATATAATAGAATCATTAGAAATTGCTAAAAATAAAATGATTTTAAATAGAGATTTAGGTCCTGGTGCTAAAGAAGTAAATTTATGTAAAATATACAACTTGTACATGTACATTCACTTAAGTATATAAATAAAATTTCCTGTGTTTTTCTTGTCTCTTGAAGATGGTGGAACATTTTCCACCAAGAAACGTAAAGTTTCTTAGTTTTATATTGATTTTAACTTTATACAATAAGTGAATGTACATTTTAAAAACACTAGAGTTGTAAAACGATTATATAAAATATGTGCAAAAGAAATGGCAGTCGATTATAGTGTTCACAGATATATGGAATACAAAATAAAAGAAATTATAATTTTATTGAATAGATCGAAGGTTAGGCCTCATTTTGAGTATTGTGTTCAATCTTGGGTTTCTTAGCTCAAGAAGGAAATCGAATTGTTGGAAAGAGTTCAAAGTAGAGCTATTAGGGCATGAGATGGAGACGTAGTACATCAGGAAAACTAAAGAAATTTTTCTATCTTGAGAAAAAGAAGAGCTAGAGGGTATCTTATTGAGGTGTTCAAGATTATTAAGGGAATTGATAGAATCAATGTATCATTTTTATTCGTATTTGATGGTAAAAATAGTAGAAGGAGCACAAGTATACATTTTGGCAGGGCAAAAAAAGCATCTTTACCTTAGACAGTTTTACTTTTTAAACAGGATGGATGCAGTGAATTTATTGAAGATTAAAGGAAGCCTCGATAATATTTTAAATGATGAATGCTGCATTTGAGCATTTTTTAAAGTGGATAGGACAGTTTTCTTTTAAAAGGTAAAGTAAAATATTAGAAACCAGAAGCCAACAGTTAATACGAAGTAACCATCGCCAACTATGAATCAATTAAAGAAGCAAAAGAAATTTAAAAGATTAGATTATTTGGCAAATTATTTTAGATAATTGAAAGAGGGCATGTTTGTTTAGGTTTTCGTGAAAAGCCACACAAGGGCTATTTGCCATCTTTGAGTTTGATTTGATAAGATGGATGGAAGGCAACTAATCAACAGCACTTACTATCAACTCTAAGGACACTCTTGTCAAATTAAACAATGGGATTTGATTGTTATTGTTTTACAATATTACGGCACGAAAATAAATAAAAAACGCACTCCGCACTTTGAGGCCGTAGGTATGTTATAAGGGTGGGTGGCAGTCAAATCATATTATTTGATCAGACATGAATAGTCATAGAGTTAGCGATGGGTGCTTTGACCAGCTGCCTTCCCTCTCCTCTGTGACTTAAAACGTACGGACGGGCAGCATTTACAGCAATTGTATAGTTTTACGCGAACATCCGAATCAAATGTATTAAGTGTGCAAGTATTTTTAGTAGATCTAAAACCGCTTTTTGTGTAATAAGGTTTTATGTTTATTAATTTTCTTATTATAGAACATTCAAAACCTGAATTGGCCTTAGGAAAATTAACAATTCTATTTAATAATAGCTCCCAGTAGGTCAACGGTAAGATTACAGACTTACAAAGCTAAAACAAAGCGCTCATAACATATTCTCTAATAATAGCTCCCAGTAGGTCAACGGTAAGATTACAGACTTACAAAGCTAAAACAAAGCGCTCATAACATATTCTCTAATAATAGCTCCCAGTAGGTCAACGGTAAGATTACAGACTTACAAAGCTAAAACAAAGCGCACATAACATATTCTCTAGTTTTGCGCTGACACAAAATCAATAATTTCATTTGATAACAGGTAAAAATAAGAACAAATCTTTTAACAAGACGAAACATTTCGCTACTATTAACTTATCTTAATATCTTTCATATTTCATTCTTAAGTATATAAAATAATACGAAAAGAATACACACATATCTGTAAAAATAATAATAATTTTTTTGTAATATTTAATTAGCTAATACAGAAAACCTTATACTATTTTCTGTTCCGGATTTTATACCGGCGTATAATGGTAAAATCAGCTTAAACCTTCCCACTTTATATCACTTTCGTTGAAAAACTTTTCTTAAGCCTTCACTCATAATGCTTTGGAGAATAAAACAAACAGTAGTAAAATTTATTAAAACCTTTATAGCATCAAGAAAAATGTTATCTTCGGATAGACGTTAAGATGATACTTTTTCGTTTTAACAAATTTAACCGTCTTGCTGGTTACTTCAGCTTAGTAGTAAAGTCTTAGATGTGTTTATGAGGCTATATGGGTTCTATCATATGAAATTTTAACTATAAAAATAAGGGGAACAATTCAGTGTTATCAGTAAATCAAACTTAGTAAGCTACAAAAAATATTAGTAAAATGTTATGATCTGCAGGAACTTCCAAAAACGCAAGCCTCATAAACACATATAATCTTTAGCTGTTGTCATGCTGCGTATTATACTTCTGCATATTAAAATAAACTTCGAGTCGGCCCAACTACTCCCGCTAGGCAAGACATAACCAAGTATTATCGCCAATTCTTGCAGTACGTTTTTAATAAACACTGCAAGATCAGACTTTGGGGATTATCCTTAGTTTCTAGATGTTATTGCAAACACATCTTTTCAACATCAATTCTTTAGGTTAAAAAAAAAAGACATTTCTTTGTCTGAAAACCAATTTAAAACCACCCAGTTCAGTTGCAGTTGTATATAGTTGAAATACAGAATGAATTATTGAGTTATAATTTTCTTGCCTGGAATTCTTTTTGTATAAAGATCATGGCTTCTTAAATTACTATACGTCTTTTTTTTTTATCTGAGCTTTTGTTGATATGGTATCTTTAAAAACTTTAAACAAACAATTAAAAGCAATATTTATGTTGTTATTGTTGTTTGTAGTTATGTAAAAAGCTACACGATGGGCTATCAGTGCTCTGCCCACCACGGGTATCGAGACCCGGTTTCTAGCGTTGTAAGTCCGCTGTGCCACTGGGGGCCAATATCTATGAATAGCAAAAGATTCTGAAGAATACTTTATACTTTTGGTATGTTTTTTTTACATTTTCTTTATCTTTGTACCAATCTTTATTTGGCAACCTAAGATGCAAAATAATATGAAATGAAAGATCACTGTAAGATAAATGCTTCTACAGGCCTTGTTACATTGGTTAGTTAGTTGTTTGATAATGCAATACCACAAGAAACCGAGTTTTTATTGCTCAATCAAGACGTTTCCTCCTCAGATTAATGAAGCTTCAACTGACTATTCGATCTACATACACGTATTGCTTCTAGAGCACCACTGATGAGAATGAGATAAAAAAACACTTCTTGCTTGCTCATGTGTTCTCATGTGATGGAGGTAAAGAAACTCCTTCCTTCCTAAAATACGATAAAAAAAACACTGTCTATGTTGATCCTCCGAATACGGGAAACTTCTAGCTGATCCATGTAGATAAACAACTATCCATTGCTAAGAATAGTTTCTGTTAATGGCTAGAGTCATCAACTAAATTCCGCACTGAATTTCTTTTGATATTCAAATTGTGAAGTCCTAAACCAATATTATTATTTTCCCCTTATACGTTTATTGGGTGATAAAAAGTGTCATAATAACTAACGATTCTACACAAATAAAATTTTAGACTAAAGCGTTTATTTTTTGCTCTTGTTTTTATTGTAACATTCTTGTTCAAAGATTGTTTTTTCTTTTTCATCTGAGTCAGTCATATACGGTAAGCTTTGTATTTCGTTTAAGCATTTTGTTATTGAAAGATACACCAAACACACATTTATCATTAGCTAGATACTCGATGATATAGTATCTAAAAGGACAGGTATAGTGATCTGCAGAAGGTGCATTGAAAATAGAATATAAGGTGTTGAGGTTAAAATGAACTTTAAGGAATAATAC